CTATTCAACTTGTGCGCGCAGAAAATGCAAGGCTGGATATCTGCTGCATTAGCGCCAGGGTTGGATTGGAGCAGACCAATCCTGGCTTGTGTTTGCATGCCTTGGCCGGCTCGTCGATCCCGTACCGCCCCTCGATATCGTCGTCTCTCCGCAGGCGTCGTACTCAATGCTGCAGTGCTCGCTCAACCCAACCCAACCGTAGTCAAGACAGCCCCTGAAAATCGCTTGTCCCCAGCTTACGCTATCCAACTAGTTGACGCGAAGCAACGTTCCACCGCAACCCCAAAGTCTCAACTTCCCTATCCATCTGCTCTGGCAGATCTCGCTCCACAAAGCGGAGATGCTGCGGCCCTGGCCCCGAAAAGAAAGGCACCGCACCAATCAATGAGAAGATATTAGCCGGAGGCGATGAATCCCCAAGTCACACGACGGACGGTTATGGCTGGCGTAGGACCATCGGCTAAGATCATTGTGTATAAAGTGCTGGCTGTTCCAGGTTTACACATGATGAGGTGTTGGGTGATGGAGGCGGCCGTCCCTTGACTCAGTTGACCAACTGCCCCGGGGTGGCTTTCTAATAATGGCGAGAAGCGGAAACTTTTGGCCACAGGCCATGGCTATTGTAGCAGGACTCCTTGGTGTTGCCAAGAGCGACAGCTTGAAAGATGTTGAACACGTCGTCTTGTTCATGCAAGGTAAATTAGATCAACGCCTTGGACACATCAAGGGTGGCTAACCAAGCCTATTTGAAGAGAACCGAGCCTTCGACCACTACTTTGGCACAATGGCAGGCGTTCGCGGCTTCAACGACGCCAATCTCCAAACGAATAATGGCGTTCCTGTGTGGAAGCAAAAGACATCGCCACAGCTCACCAATAGTACCGACTACGTTATGCCATGGTACTTGAATTATCTCGGAGGGAATTGGTCCGAGGCTACGCAGTGTATGATTGCAGGCAGCAACGGCTGGTACCAGAATCATGCCGCTTGGAATGGCGGAACAAACGACCACTGGGCTCTCAACAACACCCCGTACAGCATTGGCTACTACAAGAGAGAAGATTTGCCCACGCAATGGGCGCTGGCGGAGAATTGGGTAGTCGGGGACATGTATCAGGTATGTGCAAAGAGTCAAAGGGCAGCCTGGGTGTGGTGATCTGATGGAAGCACAATGACGGCAGGAATCGGTCATTGCGTCAACAAGCCCAAACCGCGTCATGTGGATAAGCGGCTCTATCAACGTCCCGGGTGGTAATCTCAGTCCGGATCTAGGAGGCAACCCTTATATCGACAACTACGAAACCCCTGGATGTGACGACAACGGCATCAACTGCTACCCACTGAAATGGAAGACGGCACCAGAGTACTGGGAAGAAGCAGGCGTCAGTTGGCAAATATACCAAGATGGCACCGATGACTACGACAACTTTGACGACAACCCCCTTGCATGGTTCGAGCAGTTCCAACAGGCCAAACAAGGTTCCAACTTGAACATAAAGGGAATGCAGGGACGGAAGCTGCAGGAGTTTTACGACCGGGCGGCAAACGGAACTCTCCCCGAGGTTTCCATCATCATCGGGTACAGAGAACTGGCGGAGCACCCGCCTTACTCCCCCCACGACGGAGCCTGGCTAGAAAACAAGATTGCAGAAACAGTCATCAAGTCCCCAAAATACAACCGAACTACACTAATAATCTCATTTGACGAAACGGGCGGCTGGTTCGACCACGTGGACCCGTACAGATCGTCCAACGGAACACCAGGCGAATGGTACAATGACAAAGCCGGCATCGGATACACCTTCACCGGACCCGGGTTCCGCGTCCCCTTCTACATCATTTCCCCGTGGACAAGAAAAGGCGGCGTCTTCGTCGAACACGCCGACCACACCTCGCAGCTACAATTCATCGAAAAGTGGCAGGCAGCCAAGTCGCGCTCCATCAAGTCCCGCGAGATGGTCCCCTGGCGCAGACAAAACATGGCCGATTTATTGAACGCTTTTGACTGGGACAACCCCGACTACAGTATCCCCGAGCTGCCGAAAGCCCCTGAGCCGCACAGAAACAGCCGGGGCAAATTTGACGGCGCATCGCACTGCATGGGCCTGTACGGGGATCCGCGGCCTCCCGTGCCGTATTCGGGAGACGGCGCGACCACCGACATGGCCGGCCTGGTTGAGCATGGCTTCAAGCCGATTCGCGGCAAGTTGACAGAGGGCCGGTACTTGGTTCTGGAAATGGGCGGCTACGCGGTCGCCAGTGCCGACAAGGTGGTGACTGGTAAGGCGTGCGGGAGGCATGATTCCAGGAGCCAGCGGTGGGTGGTGCATGTTGAGGAGCTGGGCGGGACGAGGTTCAAGGTGTCGAGCGGCGAGAGTGGCAAGTACGTGTGCGCTGGTTTGGCGCTTTGCAGTGACAAGTGCAAGGCTGTCGTGTTTGATGTTCGCTTCGAACCGGGCCGTGGGTATAGCTTCGAGGTTGGAGATGGTGAGTATTTGGTGGCGGATGACAGGGGAGAGTTGTCGTTGAACGGGTCCAGTGCGTATTGGACTATTTACAGCGTTAGTTATTAGTTTTGCTGAAGGGATGAGGAGGGACACTGAAATGGTAGCTTGGAATGAATTAGAAGCTGATTCGTCTGAAAAAGTACATGCTTGTATTCGTCAATCTTGATGGATTTAATGACAGATCCGGGGCATGTGTCGCACGGATATTAAACGAGGACTATAATCACGAGATGCTACGGCTCGAGGGCTGACTACCACTTTGTGTAAATACGATCCTTTGGCCCCAAGGACATTTCATACCGTGACTGTTATTGGATGAGTTGAGTTTTGACTCCAAGCCCTTGACTGAGACCTTGTCACGGCATTTGAGGGGAAGTGTCTCCTTCAGCCTGTTCAAGAGTCAGGCAATGTCTTGAGATTACTCCTGGAAGTGGCCTGTAATGGGCGATGGAAAGAATGCTAGCAAACAGATGATTTCCGCTAGTGAATAAGGGGTGGAGAAGAGAAGACGCACACGATGATACTGGTTAGAACATACGTCCGTCGCGGCGCGGCAGAAAAGGGCCAGGCCATCTGAGCATCATGGACTTTTCTAGACTGGCACGACGGGGAATTGCCGAAGCGGGCCTCGGGCCGTTGACGAACAATAACCACTATTGCCAAGATAGGCCATAATATATCCAGATACGTCGCCAGAATAAGCTTTTTAGGTTCATTCTGCATATCAAACTTGCCGCTACCCCACGTTATCCCGCCAAAGCGACGCCACGTGTATCCATCCACATGTCGATAGTTAAGACGAACTCCTATTCGTCTCCTTGGCTTATCGGCGTTATCGTTATCGCACGGGCGGCCGGCGGGAGCGAACCATCCTTGATACTCCTGAGTCGAGAATAAGCTTTAGGAAGCATTGTATTACTATTATAGCGCTAAGCGAACAGACGTCCTTATGACTAAAGAAATCGACCAGTAATGTTAGAGTTATAGCAATCCTATTGTGACAAGGGCTAAAGGCTCAGAGTATAATAACTTAATTCGTTTGATAATAGTCTTTAGTGCTAAAGGTTCCTGGTTTTCCTCAAGGTCCAGTTGACCAAGGAGATCTTTGTACAGGAAGGAATATTCTGCCTTGTATTCCGCGATTATAGCCCTCCTGTAACGGAATAACACCAATAATACTCTGCCATGTGTCCACTATTGTAATGCAATTTATCGTTATCGTCTGACAAGATAAGAGGATACCTATTCGCTCATCAACTTGGTTTATTAATTGCAAGCTATAAATACGTTACTCTGTCCAATGATTTACGGATATTTTCGCAGAGGATATAGCCAGACAGTGGAAATTCCTAATATAAAAGATAAAAATAGTATCGAGTTGTATATCTTATTAGTACTCTTAGCATTATCCGCGACGAGATTAAATCTCATTAAACCCCGTGTGCGAATAATTAGATTGTAAAGCTTCCATCTCTAGATAACTTACAACGTGATAAATTAGGTAATTACAAGCACATATACCGACTCCAACGGCGGAAGAACACGACTTAGGGATAGCTGTCCCAGCACCGGAATGTAAGCAATATTAACGGTAACGCGTCCTGATTCATGCTCAAATCTCCTAATAGAAGTAGTTTGACGGTAATTGCTGTGGTAATTGCCGCAGTTGCGGTAATTTAACGGGGCAAGTAACCACGCAGCAACTATCTCCGGCTGTAACCGGATTGCACTTGCTTAATTCAGCTGGTCGTGATCCACACACGGAAACATGATCCGAAGTCGGCAACAGGGCTTGATCACGAGTTGAGACTATTTATCCACCCTCAAGTTGGTGAAATATGTATCTAGCTCATAATTGTCCGCCCAGACGGGAAGAGTGGTATGCACAGACGCGAATTGGTATCGGATTCGTCTTGGTAGAATTCGACGCGTATATCGTGGATGGGGAGCAAACAGCAAGGAATTGAATAATGTACGTCTACAAGATATAAACCCGCCCGTTGTACATAATATCATGTATATAGAAGACATTATTGGGAGCAAAAGCACCCCTAATGAACGCTCGACTCACCAAAGACGGCTGCGCAGGAACCACTTCTCGCATGTTATTACTGTTTTCGTAAATTGTGCCGCACGATGTATCTCTACTGCTTACTTCGCACCGCACCTTTGAGTGCCACACTACAACGGGTATCCACCAATTTTCGGCCGTGATAGTATCTAGTGGGTTTATGCACGATGCTCGAGCCAGTATCAGATTGTGGGTTATAAGCCGTGGCACGGCAAAGGACATTTAGTAACTCGGCCTGGTTACACTAAGAGAAATATTTACACGTTTACATAGGCGACTTGAGCTTGATCGTAGTCTATATCCACGTATAAGATGATGCCAGTGCCCCTTGCTAAAGTCTTCTTTCCTTGAGCGCCACTCACTTGAATATATCTCACAAACTTGCCCCATTATTCTATCCAAACCGCCAAACAGTTTTCATCATGATGAAGCTGTACATTCTAGCCTTATTTGCCGTTGTCGCACTCGGTAGCCCTCAGGGTTATCCCTCGTTTGGTGGTCAGCTATGGGAGAATCCCACTCAGCAAATCTGCGCTCAGTCGGGTGTAAGTGATGCCAAATTGCATATTTGAAATGAACGCTAACACAAGTATGAAACTGTACAGGACTCTTGCAATCCGAATGTAAGTATTTGGGAACTCCCTACAAGGCTACCAGTTCTAACGTAGTACGCAGGCCTCGAATTGTTGCCACGGTCACTGCTGTGATCTTCCCTCTGGAAATGGTGCTGTCTGTGGTGGAAATGTAAGTTGATCCCTAAAAGTAAAGAAGTCATAGATGTAGCTAATAGGGCACTTCAAGTGTTGAAACCCAAATTTTCTTGCCAAAACTTTCGTTCACCAACTCAACCCCTGTGAATTGAAAAGAAGAACTAGCTGGCTATAAACAAGTGTTTCCCAATACTACTCATTGTCCAAAAAGAACATGTCAAGAAAGGAACGATGCAGCGGCTCCTGCAGCTATGAAAGTTCCTATAGTCAGTTTATGGGATGTATTATTAGCTGTTATTTATGGAAACACTTTTATTGGCGTACTTTCTATCCACTTTATAATATCTTGAATAGTTTTCATGTGTGCCCTTTTCCTCATACTCTTTCTGTGATGCACTAAACCGTTTACGTGTTATTTTTGTGCAGTAAACGAGATGTGATAAAGGCTATAGGTTTAAAGTATATGACTTGATTTATTGAATAATAGTCTTTATCATTCAAGGTCCTTGGTTTTCTTTGAGGCCTAGTTGACCTTCACTCAAGTCGCAATACGGCAACTTCCAACCTATGCTTGCCATTGATGCAAGCATACCCTTGCTGCATATAGACTCCAGGTATAGTGTACGGAAGTCTACGTCTTTGGCGCCTTGCCAGCGCTTCATGAATGCTGCTTGCGAAATTTGCCGAGGAAGTGAGTCGATGTAAGCCTTCCTATCCTCCAGCATAGCTTGGCTCGGGACGCGAGCAGTCGAGTCGTCCGTCCACAAGAAACAGGGCAGCCGGGCAGCTTGGACAAGGGGAACAATTTTGGCAAACCCCCAGTCAATTAGACTACTAATATATTAGCTTGGACCAGGAGAATCAGGCTGGGGAAGCATAATGACGATTCTCCTACCACTTGATATGATTCTCATTGTCCATTATAATATTTACTGGCTTGATATCGCCATGGTCCATGGCGAACAGTTTGCTACTTCCATCCTCACCAAGGACCTTGGGCAGAAGCGCAAGCTGATCGAGACAATCTTTTTCTGTGAGACCGGGGAGTTTCCCATCCTTTACACGCTTGAGCTGATTTCTGATGCGTCGCTCAAAGAAATTTGTAGCAGTTGTAGATCCTAGGACGCCTTGTATTAGCTGCATGTCCAATTCATATCGTTTGGGAGCGGTTCGTCCATACCATGTTCCAAGGTACACATTATCAGGGACAGTTGAATCTCAGCTATCTGGCTTAGTATGGCGTCGCGAACAGGCTTTGCTGGAAAGTTGTCATCCCATTTCAGAGGGAATCCTTCAGCCCAATCAAGAACCATGAATGGGTACCTTATTGGGTTGTCAAAGGTAAGGCTGGCGCCACGGTATCGAGGCGACCAAGAAAAGCTTTTTGCCTCAAGTGCCCGAAAAATGCGTGTTTCCATTTCAACATTTGCAATAACGCCTTGCTGGGTCTCTTGATTTGGATGACCTACACGGACTGACAGGCTTGGATGATCCCTGAAGCTAACCTTGAAGATGCGACACTCTCCTCCGTGAAACTCTCCAGCCACGAAAGCGTCGTTCCCGCCTAGGTGGAGATGGGAGACCGCGGCACAAATGGCCCTTGGGTCGAGATTTTGCCCTAGATACAAGCTCATAGTGGCTGAGTTTGGGTGCAAAGAATCGTGGGCAGACAACGCTTTGGGAAGGGTAAACGCAGGGGGATTGTTTCGAGGTTGGTTGCCCACACCTGTCCTCGTCGTTGTTGGGTCTGGTCAGTACATGTATCCACGTGACAGGACCTCTCATTACATTGGTCAACCAGGAACTACGTCAGAATTTAAAAGTGTCTGGTTGGTTGCACAGTCCTCTACAGGTGAGATGGTGCGCTATTATCTCTCACTTCAGGATACTATTAGTGTGTACTATGCCCGTTAGAGGAGGACATGCTGCGCACTCTGCAGAATAGCCTCAGAGCAGGGGAAGTGTGTATTAACACATATGGTATGTGTGTTAAGCAGAGTCACATGGAGCATCATGTTCATATAAGACGCGGTGGGAAACAGAATTTCTCAATCAATATTTAGCTCTCTCGTACAACGGCCTATACCATCAGCGAGCATAAACATTACAGCCCCCCGTACTTTCAGCAGCGAATCCCGGGGCCTTGAAGTCCCAACTTGTTCCGGATCAGCCGATGGGCATATCGTATGAGCTAAAGACTAGACCTACATGTACGGTCATGGGTGACATCCACTTCGCTACACTCACTGAGCCCTCGTCACAGGGGCCAGTTTGAACAAAGACAGCAGCGAGCAATTTCAACGACAAAATACAACGTAATTCAAACATAACGCACTCCGATAAGCAAGTATCAATGACTGTTCGCTTCTTCACTAGTAAGTTCCCGCCACCCCTTCGTCCATCGGCTTAAACGTAACCTGCGTGGGTTCATCCGTAATCCCTCTCTTCTCAGCTTCCGCCATAATGGCCTCGGTGGCCGTGGCGCCAATTCGCGTAACACCCAAAGACATGACATGCAGCAAATCGTCCAGTGTCCTGACACCCCCAGCAGCCTTGACCTGAACGTGCGGACTCGAGAATTCCCTCATGAGTTTCAAGTGAGCCACCGTTGCGCCCTTGTACGAATACAGCCCGTCGGGCCTCTTGACAAACCCGTAGCCCGTCGACGTTTTCACAAAGGCAACGCCAATGTCTGAGCATATCCTACAGAGTTTAACAATGTGCGCATTCTGCAGGAAATCGTTTTCGAAGATAACCTTGAGCGCGGCGCCGGATTGCGTGACGACAGTGTTGATTTGCTTAATCTCGGAGGCGACATAGTCCCAATCCCCGCTCAGGGCTTTGCCAATGTTGATGACCATGTCGATTTCCTTGCCGCCGGCTTTGGCTGCGGCCTCGGCTTCGAATACCTTGACTTGGGTTGTGCTGTTGCCATGGGGGAATCCAATGACGGGGCAGACAAGAACGTCTGTGCCCTCTAGTTCCTTTTTGGCCATGGGGATCAAGTATGGCTTGACACAGGCGGTTGCCACGTTGTATTTTTTGGCGATGCCAAGACCGGTGAGAATGTCTTCGTCTGTCATTGTCGGGTGGAGGAGAGAGTGGTCAATCATTTTGGCCAATTGCTGGCGAGTGACTGTGATGCTGTTCGTCTCGTTTGCCATTTTGAAAAAGTTGCAAAGACTTATTTTTTGGTTGAAACAAGTGTTGAGGCACGTTTTCTCTGCTGTGTCGTCCGTCGTCTTTATATAGAAAATGATGGAGTTGGTTTGGGGCAAGTTGTTCCACCGGAGCAAATTTCCGCTTTTGGTCCCGGTTAATAAATTCAACGGTCGTGTCAACTTGTGGAGAATGTTAAAGAATAAACCACTAGCTGGATGTCCGCCGGAGACTTTGGCTCGATGGGTAAGCTTTCAATCAATAGACTCAAATGGCTTGTCTCCGAAAAGGAAATCGGGCGTTGTATCTTTGCACCTGATGGCGGCGCCTGGCGACCTCTTGCCATCCGTGCCCTCGGTGATGAAAACTCTCCATTTTGTCAGCCCCAGGTGAAATTGCAAAGCGTTACTAAGATTTGAGTTTTGGCTCGCATATGGCCTTGTGCCAAGATGTAGTAAATGACAGCTGCAATAATACCAATGACGGCTCCCAACTTCTGTTCCTACACTTTTTCATGCCTTGTATCCCTTTCCTTTTCTCCACCATCAACCTCATCCTCTAGTTCTTTGACTTGAGCACCATTGCCAATGTCCATGTCATCAAGGGCATCGCCAACTTCCATCCAAGTATCACTGGTCTCAGGAATTGGAGAGACCTTGCATAGGCCCCAATACACAAGGGAAGAGACTGTAAATCCACAAAAGAAATTGAGGTTATATATATACGTGGCACCTTTAGGCACCTCTCGTCCAACGGCTCCAGCAAATCCGACCACGTTGATGGCGATTCCGCAAATGTACGCCACATAGGCGCGCCAATGAATGCCATGGTTATAATAGTATGGGCCGGTTTTGCTGGGGCTATAGAGCTCTCGGGCGTTTAAGTAACCGCGACGCACAATGTAGTAGTCAGTCGCCATGACGCCAGCCACTGAACAAAGAAACACGCTATACGCCGACAGGTAGGTGGTGAAGCTACTAGAGCTAGATAGAAGGTTATATGGGCACATGGCGAGCGCCACTACCGCGCAAATGTAGCTTCCGCGACGGATATTAATAAACTTTGGGAACAAGGCCGTCATGTCCGTGCCAGCAGCAACCGAATTAGCGGCAATATTCGTTCCAAGTTGGGCCAGGGCGAAGCCTAGGGCAATAACAAAGACGCCAAACCGCTGGGCCGAGCCGCCGTCTTCAATAAAGTGGCCTAGAAGATCAAGGGGGTTCCAAATTGCCTCTTGGTAGATGAGCATCGATGAAGAGGAGACAATAATGCCGATAAAGGAAGTCACGGCAAATCCAAGCGGGATGGCCAGCAGCTGAGGGAACAAAGCGGCCTGAGGTCGGCGGGCAAAGCGAGAAAAATCGCTATTATTAATAATCAAGGCCGCAAAGTTTCCAATAGAGGACATGATTCCCTTGATAAACTCCCAGGCGAGATCGCTACCAGAGATGGTGGCAGGTTGTCGAACAATTGGGCCAACACCGCCGGCACGCACCACGGCCCAGATGAGAAACGCGATGCCGACCGGCGGCACCACAAAGGCCTTGACGGTAAAGAGATGCCTGATTTTATGCACGGGGAACCAGAGTGCGGGCAGAGAACACAGCCAAAAGATGACAAAGGAGACATAGTCGGGCGTGCTGGTGGCATCCGTACCAAAGGGCCCAGGCATCTTGGTCCGATCCCAGGACAGCCATATGGATCGTATCATGAGATAGACGCAGGTGCCGCCAATATACGCCTGAACACCGTACCATATGCACGCTACAGAGACGGGTTAAAATCGACATTCAAGCGGTCGAGGCAGGGGAATGGCTCACCCATGGCGGCACGATTGAAAACGGGCCACATGCTCCCCCAGATGCCGAAGGGTGCGCGGTTCACGACGGAGAAGCCAATATGGTAGACGGCGCCGGTGCGCCCGATGAGGACGACGAA